TGTCTTCAGCACATAGGAGTATAGAGAGCATACGTCAACGTAACGTATCTTCTCATCCCCGTAACTTCGTACTGCGTGACGATATTCCTGTGCGACCCCCGAAGAATGCGTCGCGAGGATCGAGGGGCATGGTTCGTAGCATTGGCTGATTTTCTACAAATCACGCATCTCCTGATTCTCACGCAGCTCTCGACTGAAGACGCATTCCCATTTCTCCGTAAGGAAATATCCCTGTTTTTGAAGACGACTTGACGTTGAGAGTGTGCGTTCGTAGCGTGCGTCGATCGTATCTGCGTGTACACTGATCGAGAGTGGTCTATCGCGGTTCACTCGAAAGCATGCAGGACATCCATGCCAAAAGCACCTGTGAAATTGTAGAACATGTCTTCGCGGTGGATTTTCCGACTCGTAATAGCCGTCAACTAATGTACCATCTGATGAACGTTGTTCCCGTCCTCTACCAGCATGAATTATAACACGCCCGAGTTCGCGTTCCTTCCACAGCAACCATTGAAGAGCTTTATCCGATTGATTATTACCACGTCTGTAACCCCCCGTCGGAATGATACCTATCTCTTTCTCATGCAAAAAGTTTTTCCAGAAAACTCGCATACAAGTGGAAGCGATGGTTGTACATTCTTCGAAGAGACATACTTTTCCCCGTTCCAAAAAAATTTTACGAAAGGCGAGACATGCTCGACGGAGAATATCCACGTCGTTGCGACAATAGACCAATATCTCGTTGAAAATCGAATGCGTTTTAACATTTTCACTGCCTTCGACCACATCATCCTGCCGTGTCTCAAAATCATAAAACACAAATGCGACGCGACCTTTCTCGCGTTCGCTCGTTTCTACGTTCTTATTATTTTCATCTTCCGTTTCAGTTTCAGTTTCACTAATATTTTCCGCTCGCGTTGGATTTTTCGATAATCTGTCGGTGTGACGAAGCGGGCGCATGAAACAGAGGTGGTTCAGTGGTTTTGACGACGCGCAAATACGACAATAAATCATACCACATTTATGTTTTTTTTCTTGAGTTTTGTAAACGACCGCATTTATTGCAAATCCGGAGAATGCTACAGACACTCGATGTTGTCTCGACGTTGTATGACTTTGGGGCTCGATGTCGTTCGAAGCATGCGCTACCGTAAAACGCCCGTTGACACATGCTACAATGGATTAGTTGAACCGTTTCTTCACACGACGGAACGGCGAAACACCGGAGACACGCATTTGAACATCGATGTCCCCTTTCAGGTTTATATCCACGGTTGCAACGAACGCAATAGCCCCCTACTTCCACTAGCAGCTCTTAAATTCAATATTGGATTAAAGTGGCGACTGCGTTCGTAATACATGATATTTAGTTTATGTCTAACCGCGCGACCTAGAGAGACGAGCACCCCGCTGCCATCGTATAACGGTGGCGCACCACGAGCAAAAGAGCTAAAATTATAAACAGTGATCGTCGTATCGTACCTTGCGAGATGGAGTTGGAAACGTTCGAACTCTGGAATGTTACATCCTTCATCGGGTATAGAAACGCCAGCTTTCCGCGTGAGTTCGAGTGCTAGCTCTCGCTGCATCACAGAATTCTGTTTTCTCACAGTATTCCATTTTGCGTGAAGCTCCCCAGTGCACACATTCCCGCGTTCGCTATAAATCATTACAGCTACAAGCGAACGCGGGAAACATACCAGGTGTGTCGGTAATTCCTTTCCGGTTTTTTCGCTAAAGAAAACACATTATTTACAATGGATAGTTAAAATATATTTATTCAAAGTATTGGCCATTTGATTCCATACATTTTGCCCATCTCTCAGGCAATTTATGGATGCCATTCCAAAAGAACTGTTTCTCCTTTGAGCTAAACTATTCATCGAGCCACTTTTTAACTTTATCGAAATCGGCGAAGTACTGCTGTGCAAGCGCGTACCCCATCGATGCGAAAAGGTGGTAGTCGGATGGAGCCAGGTCTGGAGAGTACGGCGGGTGCGATAAAACTTCCCATCCAAGTGATTTCAACACTTCTTTGACTGGTTTTGCTGTATGAGACGGCGCGTTGTCATGTTGCAAAATCACCTTATCATGTCTTTGAGCGTATTGTGGACGTTTTTCGATCAATGCACAGTTCAAATTGATCATTTGTTATTGGTAGCGATCAGTATTAACTGTTTCTCCAGGTTTCAACAGTTCATAATATACGACACCAACCTGGTCCCACCAGACACAGAACATGGTCTTGCGACCAAAGCGATTTGGCCTTGCAGTCGATGGGCCGCCTTCGCCAGGTGATAACCATGATTTTTTTCGCTTGGAATTTTCGAAATAAATCCGTTTTTCATCACCCGTTACTATTCGATGCAGAAATGACTTCCTTTCATACCTTTGAAGCAGCATTTCACTGACGATTTTTCGATTTTCCAATTGCCTGTCATTCAATTCATGTGGCACTCATCTTCCCATCTTTTGGATCTTTCCCATCGCTTGTAATCGTTCACAAATTGCTACTCGGCTCACATTCAACTTTTCTGCCAATTGTTTTTGAGTTTGTGTTGGGTCTTCATCCAATAACTCCTGCAATTCCGCATCTTCAAACGTTTTACCAGGACATTTTTTGTCTTGAACGTTGAAATCACCACATTTGAATTGTCGAAACCACGTTTTACATGTTCTTATGGTTGGAGCATGCTCACCGTAAGTCTCTACCAGCAAACGATGACTTTCAGCGGCTTTTTTCTTTTGATTAAACAAGAAAAGTAATGAATGCCGCAAATGCACGTTTTTAGGCACAAAACTCGACATTTTCAAAAAACTATTAATCTATAACGCTGTTATTTTGGCGGAACGTAACTTGTGTAGTTTTGAGGTTAATGTCAGTAGAATAAAATGACATATATATAAAATCATAAACATTGCATACTTATGGCTAGTGACATCTGTTACAAAAACCGGAAAGTAATTACCGACATACCTGGTAGATTATCTGTATTGTTTATAATAAGGATCGAACGTTTTGCAACCCCTTCATGCGTTAATTTGTTTGGTTTTGCGCCTTGCCCCGAAGGTAACGTGACATTGAAAACATTAACTGTAAAATGCTCCAGTATATCGTGACCTCCAGCGCTTTGAACTAGCGAGCTCACAAGATTCCAAATATCTCCATAGCTCAAGTCACGTGCTGGGCGAAACGATAAACCTGCAGGTCCCCGAGTTAAGTCTGCTGAAGCAAACGATAACCCGACGTAGTCGTTTAGACCGACCGAGTTAACAGCGTAGGCATAGATTTCGCGGAAAGCATTTTCGAGGTAAAGCACGATATCGTTATCGTCGGGGGGAGGCCTAATTTTGATGCGCGCTTCCCTACCGAGAATATTAAATTTTCTAAATTTACGCATCCTTTCACCATAAATTTGAATAAATTTATAGTCGGTCTCGCTAATATTAGCTCTAATTAGGGTGGTTTCCGGTGCGTTCGATTGTTCCCCTCCTTCTCCTACAACGTCCTCTTCTTTTTCGTTGTGCTTGTCTACGTCATGGAAATCTGACTGTTCGCCCCCACCACCCTGTTGCACTGTAAAAATTTAATTTTAATTTTCTTAAATTTTACGCATGACGCGTAGAAATGAATTACGAGTTCAATATCACCCTACCTAAGTGATAGTTTTCGAGCAAGAAACGAATGTCGAAGGGCTTGGCGTGGAGACGGCTGTGTTGTGCCTCTTTAGCCGATGCTTCCTCAATATCATGCATCTCCTCACGGGTTGTGTAATTAGAGACTGCTGATGAACTGTGGGCAGTGTCATTCCTCAACGTTTCTTCTACTTTTTCGTTGTTGGAATGTCGTAATGTGGGCGGTGAGATTGTCTGTTCAGGGAAAAGCTCTTTCGATGCTCTTCGTTTTCGAGAGAAGCATTGAGAAAGACTGAACGAGAGAAAAGATAAAAGTTAATGGGAAAACCGACGACAATATGAATTATTTCTTATGTTGCTTTAGAAATGAATAATAAAAGACTTACGATGAAGTAAGGAACATGTCACAGACGTGGTTACCGATATCTAGTTCATTTTCTCCGAACAATCTTCGAGCTTCCACAATATCCACAGCAATTTCACAAAGTCTCTGATCGCTTTTAAAATGCCTACATGCAAATAGCATTCCCAGCAGAGTACTACTGCATGAGGCCGCGAAACTATAAAACGTTAAATAATTGCACTCATCGTTATTAGCCACGAGTTCGTGCAAATACCTCTCGCGTTCGATGAGAGGATTTATAATCGATGCCACGATAATACACTCGCGAACGGTTTCAACGAGCAACGACATCTTCTCAACACTTTCTTCGACATTACTTAAGCAAATGCTGCAATACGCGTCTGTTGTTGCGGAGGAACTGAACGAAAAGACGAAAGACGGTGTCTTCGTCAGCTTTTCCTCTACTCTATTTTCTACGCTTTTAAAATTTTCTCCAAACCATATCTTCGAAAAGTAAAGATGAAAAAATTATCGGTAATAATCTCCTTTTAATGTATTCTTAACGGATTTTCCCACGCTCGTAGCGGTATATCTAATCTAACATAACAATAAGCTAATATAACGAGGTATATCTAATCGTCCCCGGAGAAGCGGTTTCAGAAATTGTATGTTATCGATACAGGGACTTATCTACCATCCTAAGTAAACGTTAATGATACAACTTTTGTATATCATTTTGAAAAAGATAAGTAGTTGTAGATCTTTTACGCCTGCGCATCACCACCCCCCACTACTTTTTTCTATTCTCTACGGGGAAAGCCATACGGAGCTGAGACTGGTGAAGCATTCGAGCTCCGTTGGTTCTACTTGCAGCATAGCTAGTTCTCGTTATTACAAGTTCTTTACAAGTTATTTACAAGTTCTTAGAAGAAAATGTCCTGTGCTAACGTGGACACCGCTCTCAAGAAGACGTCGAAGAAGACGAAGCAGTCTCTCTACAGAAGTCGGAAACAACCGTAACATGCTTCTATGTACGACGTACGCGCTCAACAATTCGGACACTAAGAGGATGCAGGTTGGATTGCGCACCACGTACGACATGGGTCCATTTGAGCCAACGATCAGGATCATGGGGAACACGTCTTCAGGAATTCTCCTTGATTTGAATACGTGGGAGAAGTTTAAAGACGTTATACCCTCTGCAAATTCTTATTTGTGTGGGGAAAATGAGAATACACCAACCCCTATCATCATCAACAATATCAGCATCAACTTTACCTCAGCGTACGGTGCACGAGCTGTAATGGTGAGTCAGCGAGGGAAAATGCTGGACGAGAGCGGACCTGCGAAGAAAACATCGGAGGAGTCTACGCATCTGAAGCAACCGCCGCTGAAGAAGCGTAAGCTGTATACAGAGAATATTATAATGCAGAAAACATCTTTCGATGGTCTGCAAACTGTCACAAAATGTATCGACACCCGATACGAGCAGTTACAAGCGGTTGCCGCTCTTGTGAGTAATTGTAAATGTATTTTAGTAGCCGAAATAGAACTTAATCTCACGAAGGAAGGTGTAAACGAAGATTTCGTAAAACAGACGTTCGTTGATAAATATCGCAAAATCGAGGAAAATGTACGACGTCAAATGAAAAATTTACAATTTTTAGACACATATTTTAATATTGTATTCCGTGAATTGACTACGATTCATTTAAATGAAATTATACACGAGATTATAACAAACGCTCAATGCTACGAGTGTTTGCAAAGCTATGAATGTAACTCCAAAAAATAAAATGTAAATTTATTTCATAAAAATGTTGTATATTCTTTTCTCTCCACCTCTTTTCTCTTCCTTGCGATCTCCAATGCGTTGTAACAAAACCTAACTTAACTTAATTTTTCGAGTTCGAAAGCGAAGGGGACACACAAGTAAAAATATTCAGGGGGTATGTATAGACTGATAGTATCGTTTTCCAACAATAGCTTTATGTAACTTCAAAAATAAATGCAAATTTATTTTATAAAAATGTATATTTCTTTCTCTCCATCTCTTTTCTCTTCCCCAGCGATCTCCAATTCGTTGTAACAAAACCCAACTTAACTTAATTTTTCGAAAGCGATGGGGACACACAGGTAAGTAGTACGGTGGTAAGACGGCTTAATTCGAGAGACAGAGGCTCCGGTTCAAATCCAACAGAGGGCCTTACAGGGTTTTTTTCAAAACTTGTGACGTCAATATTTTCCGTATGTAGACGATATAGCTAGTTTCCATCAGGGTATAGCGGTAACGTAGTGGTAAGACGCGTGACTCAAGAGCCTGAGGTGCCAGGTTCGAATCCAGCAAGACCTTTACAGAGTTTTTCTAAAAGCTGTGTCGTCGATACTTTCCGTATGTAGACGATATAGCTAGTTTCCATCAGGGTATAGCGGTAGCGTAGTAGTAAGACGCGTGACTCAAGAGCCAGAGGTCCCCAGGTTCGAATCCGGCACAACTCCACAGAGTTTTTCCGCAAATGCAATATGCAAATTAAGTAGCTGATCAAAAGTCAGAATTGTCAAACTCTCTAATAATGACGGTCATAATTTGCTTATTTCAAAAGTCGATTAGTTTTTGTCTGTGGGTAGGTATGGCCCGTCAAAAAATTCCCCACTCGACCCGCCGGCGCCGGTGGGCGTGGTTTAGTGGCGCCAGCGGGTCGAGTGGAGGGGGAATGTTTTGACGGGCCATACCTGCCCACATACTACTATCGGGTGTAATTGAATTTGAAACATTCACTATTTTTTCCTGCATCTCTTCTAAATTTTCGGACCTAATCTCATAGATCTTTGTTTTCAAATACCCGTAGTAAAAGAAGTCTAATGGGGTTAGATCTAGTGATCTCGGTGGCCATTCTATTGTGTCTTTTCTACCAATCCATCGATCACTGAAAATATCGTTTAGAATATTTCGAGCTTACAGAGAAAAATGAGCTGGGGCTCCATCCTGCTGAAACCAAACATTGTGGAAAGCTTCTCCAGCAATATCTTGAATAGCCGGTATCACTTGGTTTCTTAGCAAATTGCAATAATTTTGAAAACAAAGGTCTATGAGACTAGGTCCGAAAATTTAGAAGAGCTGCGGGAAAAAATAGTGAACGTTTCAAATTCAATTACACCCGATTTTTTAACTAACGTAATTGAAACGTTTTACATTCGTTTAAGACACTGCTAAGTTGTCGAAGGACATCAATTTGAACATTTGATTAAATAATTAGTGTTTTTATTTCTTCACATATGCCAGTGTTCCTATCTCAGTCTTGCCTTAGTTGGCCGAACACGCACGCACACACACACACACACATACGCACGCACGCACACACACACAGGAACGCGCGTGCCCGCGTGAAGCTTGACCTTTCTTCTGTTGTCGCTGTGGGCCCTCACAAAATCTCAATGTTCAAATGATCATAACTCTGCGAAAAAAAATCGTAGAGACCTCGGCGACCTCGCGTTGTTTTCGCCTCGGAAAGCCCTTTCGAACGAGCTCTCACTCAACCCAACATACCATTTGAGATTTTTTGGCTCCCTCCTCCCCCCAGCCTCCGGGGATGTGGGGAGGTGGGTGTTTTTGTGGTTAAATAATAGACTTTGTGATCCCATTGAATCCTTATAAATTTCAATCCTATATTTCAAACCGTTCAAAAATTATTTAGGTGGCCCCGAACTTTTGGTAGGCACTGTATAAAGAGAATTTATTATTTAAATTGCAATCGTAATATTCTAAGTTGGCTGCATTTACTTATACAATTTAAACAATCATGTTTAAGCAATCTTAAAATTTACGGGCATTCGCACTTAACATTTCAGCGTTAATACAAAATCATTAGAGAGTGAGCACTTGGTAATTCTTGAGAATATTTAATGTAGAGATTAACATTCAAAAGTTTAGAGTTTATATTTATCTGTTCAGTGTCATACTCAAGTGTTCAGACTAAACTTTTAAATATGCGGTATTTACACTCAAATTGGAATGCGAATATTCAGTTATTGAGTGTATACACTTCATCTTTTAAGGTGTACATTCAAGTGTGAATATTAATATTTAATCTTTAATAATTATTATTTAATAATTAATATTTAATATTTAATATAAGTTAGAGGAAAACACTCATTGTTAGAGTGTAAACACTCCATGTTCAATATGAATACTCAGTGTTCAGTATAGACATTTAAAATATAAGTGTATATACCCAAATTTCGAGAGTAAACTCTCGGAATCGAGTATAAACGCTCAATATTTGAATGTTTTTTTTACTTTTTAGGGTATTTTACTATTAACTCTTTGCACTCCGCGTGTTTCTTTACCATTGCCTACTAGCAACTCTGGTATGCTTTTGCAGCGAAGCGTCTGGGAAAAAAGAGTTTTATTTTGAACGGAAAAAATGATAAGTACTTATGAATGTATTTGTTTTTATTTATTTTATAAATATGCTTTTCCTCTTGTAAATAAAAATTTTAAATTTTGTAATTCACCATAGTGTGATATCTTTGAAAATAGTCTCCCATGTGCATTTATCTAAGTCTTCTAACGAATCTTCGCTTTCACTTTTAATAACTCTCATTTTTCGTCTTTTTCGTGTTACAATTTCGCTACCACTGCTAGAAGTATCAGAATCATAATCAAAATTATCTTTAGATGTTAAAATATTTAAATTATCTCTTAATACTTCAAAATTAAATACGTCTTCACTACCGTTCAGTTTTAAATTCTCATCATAACATTCTTTTTTCTCCAGATTTTTAATCATAAAAAAAGTCAAAAAATAATTTAACTTCAAAATTACAGAAGTTTTAAGTATAAAACGTTTTAAGTACAAAAACAATTGCCAACGCCGACAATGACAAAGTATCTTGAGCGTAATCATATTCATAGAGAATGTCCCCACAGTGGAGCCAATGGAGTGCTAAGGGTTGAATTTATTATTATCTTATTATTTACAAATATCAAAAAAAGTATTTTTATTGTATTTAATGTAATTTAGTTCAGTGACTGTTATGTTATAGTATTGGATAAATGAATATACTACACCTATTGGACTTGGTGTATTTCATTCTGGAGTGGAGATATATGGGACAGGTATGTACTTAAAAAATAAAGTATGACACAAAAATTATGAAATATGTATATAATATAAAATGTATGAAATGTATGGAAATGTATATAATATCAAGCATATTTCTACCATAGAATATGCATATGGTGGTCATGCTCAACCTAGAAGTGGTATTTTTGAAATTACACCAAGGGTAGCTGAAGAATTAGGTGAACAGTTTAGATACAGGTAAAATTTATATTTTTTCCTATTTTATACTCTTTATAAATATTCATTAAATATTTGATATGAATAATTAATGTAATTTTATTTATTTTATAGACAATCTGTTCATATTGGATATACAGATTTTACAGAAGAAGATGTTTCTAGAATTATTACAGAATTAGGCAAAGATTTCAGAGGAGACCGCTATCATCTCATGAATAAAAACTGTAATCACTTCAGTAGTCAATTTACATTGGTATATTGTCTTTTTTTAATATCAATGAATATTGTATAAATTATATAGTAAATATGAATATATTTCAGATTCTATGTGGACAAGAAATACCTGGTTGGGTAAATCGTCTTGCATATTTTAGTTCATGTGTACCATTTCTCCAACGCTGTTTACCAAAGGAATGGTTAACACCTGATGCTTTACAACACTCTTTAAGTCAAATCAGTCATCATGAAAGTACACCATCGGATACTTCGTTGTAACATTTACCTAACACTATTAATATACACGGTCTAAAATACCATAGGAATTATACTTTGTAGGTAATTAAACGTGGTGAAAAAATGTTAATTAGGACTGACTATATCGCCAAGATGTAAAAATTTGAAAAACTGAACCGTCAACAAAAGGTACAAATTTAATATTGTACACTTGAATGCGACTGCTGACAATTAATACCGAAAATATTGCCTTTACTGCAACACGTCGTTTCCTAATATTTAGACTGCGATCTGCAATATCGCACGTGTTCTTTGTTGAGTAATACAGTCAAGATACGATAGTTATATAACGAATAAATAATTACCTATAAATTCGAATCGAATGATTAAGAAAATCACTCCGGTTGATGAAAAAAAATTTATGTTACGTTCAGAAATGATTATTTTAAATCAAAATTTTATAGGAGTCTTTAAAGACACAGGAATGCTACAACACGCACATCCTGAGTAATAACAGACATAATAGATATCTACGATGTTTGTAAAGATGTGAAAAAAATTTTTGGATGTATAAAGATGTGAAAAATTACATAATTTGAAAGAGAATATATAATGATAGGACAGAAATTCCAACATAATTTTTTTGAATCTTTAAAATTACTTTATCTCCTTTAAATGTGGTCAAAATAATTTTTTAACAATATATTCTTTTCATTCCTTCACATCATATAAGTTTTCTTAACTCTTAAATATCTAATATAATTTACATGCCATGTACATGGTTATATAAATGAGGCGCACAACAAACCTCAACAGTTTTGTAAAAAATTATTTAGAACGATTGATATAATAATATTAATTAATAAACTTCCATTAACGATTTAACATTTATAACAGCTTATTAATAAAATTTATGTAAGAGCATTAGAAATATTTAAATATATTTCTTGATTCATTTCTTATAAAATATAGAAAAAATATAGAAAAGAATTGTAATATAAAGATGAATCTTCATACTAAAATAAGTCAAAAATATAATTTTTTGTGTGTAAGAATCTTTTTACCAAGAAAAATGATCTTCAATTTTTATCGAATACACATTCTTATTTGCACCTATGACGCATTTTGAAAGATTTCATTATAAATTAATATTTATATGTATTGCATTTATATAAAACGTACATAAGATCTTAAGATAGATATATTTTTAACAAAATTAAGCAAATTTGGATTTTTACAATTGCTTTAGTATATTCTAATAAGTAAATTGCTGATAATGTTAACTTTGCTATTGAATTGCTATAAATTACAGTGTTTATGTAGAACTTTTATATAGAATTTTTATATAGCTGTTATACTATTAACAAAAATCATTAGCAAAAAGTTGCTTTTAAATCTTTGGCTAAAATATCCCTTTGTCCTAACTAATATCACAATCATGTCTTAATAAATTTCGTATTTTTTAACTAAAATATAATGAAATATGTAAAAAATTAATTTTCTTCTACTAAATAATTGTATTTTTTATAATAAAAATACAGTTATAGGTGAATCTTTTTATGAAAAAAGCTATAACGACGAAAAAGATATAACGACTATTTTAACCTATTAACGCCTAAAAGTCCTAAAATATTAGCCTTACTTTGCAACTGTATTTTATTTTTATTATGTAGAGAAACATATTATATAAAGTTGGAATAGCATTTTCTTATGTTTTCGGAGTCGTTCTACAAGATTCCGGCATCAGAATTCGTTTAGATTCACAATAAAATCCAATATGGCGGAATTTTTGGAAAAAAGTCGTGAAAAATCGACAATTTTATTTCTTATAAGCTTGATTTCGTATCAAAAATGTTACTTTGATACAGGTACAAGTGTCACATCTTGTCTCAAAAATGTTGAACTTTCAAGGTATGCATTGGTGAAAATGTGAATTCAAGATGGCTGCCTCAAAATGGCAGTTTGAGCGAAAAAAACTTAAAAAATAATGTATTTTTAGAATAACTTCGCAAAATCCTAGTATTTAGCATCAATTTAATATCCAGTCAGACATCGCGAGCCTGTTACTCCACATAGCTTGGACCGGATTGACAGGCAACAACGGCGCACGTCGTTATGTGGAGTATATGTAGAGAAGCAGGCGATGTCCGACCACTGTGCATTTATTCCCTTATTTATTTAATAATTTTTCTCAAAACTTTACGTAGTCGATTCCAATTTTTTCCCTCCGTTGTACTTATCTCGATGTTTTTTATGTTTTTTATAAAGTTTGTAAGTTTATAATTACCCACCCTGTATATGTGCGTGTGTACGTCGGGACAATATTTCATAAGTATGAAAATAATAGAAGAAAATTCATGAAAATCGGGAAATTTTCACGATTATTCGTGCCTTTTAGTCGCCATCTTGAATCCGCCATTTTGAAATTCTCTAATATGAATTAGTTGTCAGTAAATATCCTAAAATCAGTACCCTGGATACTAAATTGATGCTAAATACTAGGATTTTGCGGTTATTCTAAAAATACATTATTTTTTAAGTTTTTTTCGCTCAAACTGCCATTTTGAGGCAGCCATCTTGAATTCACATTTTCACCAATGCATACCTTGAAAGTTCAACACTTTTTGAGATAAGATGTGACACTTGTACCTGTATCAAAGTAACGTTTTTGATACGAAATCAAGCTTATAAGAAATAAAATTGTCGATTTTTCACGACTTTTTTCCAAAAATTCCGCCATATTGGATTTTATTGTGAATCTAAACGAATTCTGATGCCGGAATCTTATAAAACGACTCCGAAAACATAAGAAAATGCTATTCCAACCTTATATAATATGTTTCTCTACATAAAATACAATTGTAAAGTAAGGCAAATATTTTAGGACTTTTGGTGTTAATGGGTTAATAATCTAGTAAAAAATATAATTATGTAATGTAATCATCTGCAATCTTGGCCTATACGTTTTCAAACCATCTTTCTGGAGGTGTTGCATAAACAAAATATGAACATAAGAATTTTGTAAAAATAATTTATGTATGTTATAGACTTTATAAATTCTAAATCAAACTTAGCTTTGTTCATAAATGTATAATTTCTCCATGGATAGTATTTTTCTAAACAACCATAATTTATTATTTATGACAGTGCTCGGAATTATTTTCACATTTCCAATAATTTTTGGGAATTTTTTCCCTCATCTTTCCCCTATTGTACCTGCATGCTTGCTAGCTATAGATTTGACAGTCGCGTTCCCCACCTTAGAGCCGTTGACATTATAACATTTACGAAGTGTTTATCAATAGTTGTAAAATTATCGGTAATTACAGCTATCGGTAAGCGCCTCTGATGTCAATGATCCTAAGGCAAGGTTCATCAACATACAGAATAGATTGATGATTGCACTAGTGGGGATAAAAAAACGAGTAAAGTGAGATGCAGACAATGGCTGTGTTCCAATTATAAACATAGGCTCATATTCTGAACATTTTTTTATCGCCAAAAGTGACTCTAAAAGTGGCTAATAAGCTTTCTGATTGGCTGTAAGCCACTTTAAAGTCACTTTTAGTGATGAAAAAGAATTCAAAATATGAGCCATAGTATACTTAGGTACATATTCTGAATTCCTTTTTTATCTTTAAAAGTGCCTCTGAAAGTGATTTACAACTAATCAGGAGGCTTATTAGCCATTTTTAGTTACTTTAACGATAAAAAAGTTCAGAATATGAGTCTTAGGCCGGTATTCATAACTAGGTTTTATATTTAACACCATCTTAAATTCATTTTCAGATACCCTATAGCCAATGAAATGATTTGTACAGCATTTGAAAATAAACTTAAGACAGTCTTAGTCAATATAAGATTCGACTCTGAATACCAGCCTTAGACTACTTATTGTTTAACAAGTGAAGGTAAAGCTCACATAGAAAAGGATGCTGTCTGTTTTGTATCTGTTTTCTCGCATACGAAGGGAAAGCAGTTTCAATATACTATGGCCCATATTCTGAATCATAGACATAGTATACTTAGACTGCACGTTCTTCCAAATTTTAAGGTGGGAGGTAGAGCTCATAGAATCATCGTGATAAACTTTTTCTTTAAGGTGATCCCATAAATAAAAATCTAACGGTGTTAAATCACCTCGCCGACCAGTTAACTGGACCTCTTCGACCTATCCAGCAACCAGAATATTTCTGATTCATTATTTGGCGTGCATAACGCGAATAGTGAGCTGGGCATTCGTCCTGCTGAAACCATATATTTCTTCTGTCTGCTAGGCTTACTTCTTCGAGTAATACGGGTAATTCTACATCCAAGAAGTTTCCATATTTCATTCCATTCAGTGTACCATTGATAAAAAAGGATTATTATTATCTTATTATCTATTATTTTATCGCCAATGATTTCATACCAAACATTAACAGACCATGGACATTGATGTTCTACTTCGCGAAGTCATCTTGGATGGTGATCTGACCAATAATATATATTATACCGATTAACTTCTCTATTATTAGTAAAAGTAGATTCATCAGAAAATAAGACCGAAATAATCAAAATATCTCAGCGACGCGATCGTGCTTCTTTTGTTCAGTATAAACACAAGATACGGAACACTTATAAACAAAATTTTTATATAATCGCAATTTTCTGATGAATCTACTTTTACTAATAATGGAGAAGTTAATCGGCATAATATGCATTATTGGTCAGATCAAAATGTTTGGAAATAGGAGGCCATCATTTTGAGCATTATTGTGATACGTTTATTTTATTCGTTTCGAATAAAAATCGGTATTACTTCGTACGATATTTCTGAAAGTAATGATTAGATAAAAATTTTTTCGGACAAAAGTGTTATGTCCTGGAGGAGGAACGCAACTTGACGTTTACTTTCACATGCTCCGACGTACTTGCAAGTCTGCGGTGCAGATCAAGGATCGGAATGACCCCTTTATCTGGCGCGGACATACGTCGGTGGTCCTTTATTTAGGTCAAGGAATTGAATCCTTTTACCTGAGATAGGACCGTGAGTGACAGTTGAGGGAAGGGAGAATGTTTTATGTAAAATAATTAGTTCGAAAACGTGATTGGCTTACAATTACAAATAACTTGTTTTATTGATAATTAAGCGGAAGTTCACAATGAAAGAGAATTTATAAGATTTATGAATGTGTACGTATACATATATATATAAACAATCGCGGTCTGAGCAAAATTCCGTATTCGTTATATTCGACTGATCGAAAAGATTGGACCACTGGCACCTGATTTAACAATTAAGACGGAATGCCAAGGGACTAGAAAAAGGGAAACAAAGGAAAGGAAAAGAAAAAAGAGAGAAGAAAAGAAGAAAATAAAAAGACAGGGGTCACTCAGGCAAAAGAAAGTATAAATAACTTACTGCTGGATCTATGCTATTTGTCGAAAATGAAGAGTGTAATTACTGCGTGTCGGTGAGGATGGATGACCCATGTTTGCGCCAAGAATAGGAAGCTGCTCTCCGCTGGACTGCTCACGATGGTCCAAAAATGCACTAGGTCGTTGCACGGAATAATTAACAACTGGCGAAAATCTGATCTGTCTAAGCCACTAATAGGCTTGGTTATTAAGAGACCCTGAAGGGGTGCTGAAGAGAAGACTCTGTCCTGGCTGCGGGTCGGTCGAGAGAAGAAGTAGAAGTGGCATAGCTTTTTCATTTTACTCAAAACGTTACCTCGGTCGAGAGGATGGGGTTTTAGGGAGGCCTGAGATGAATATTGTAAAGGATCGGGTATCTATGGCAGTAAAAGACTTCAAAGTTTCGCTAGGTC